CTGAAAAAAATTAAATTTTAATTATAGTCACGGGTATAGTCACGGATTTGGCCGTGACTAAGTCGTCGGAATTAAATAACCTTCGCCGGAAACGGAAACGGGCCTATCAGGGGACTTAAGTCACGGGCCACGACCGTGACTAACATTAGTCACGGTCATAGTCACGGTCCAGACCGTGACTATTTTTTTTTTAAATTTCCGTGACTAGTCCGTGACTAGACCGTGACTAAACTAGTCACGGACCAAATCCGTGACTAAAATCCGTGACTATAACGCTGTTTTTTTGTAGTGTGTGCACCAGGACTTTCCCACGTCTTGATTCTTTTCCCAAAACCCGTGTAGAAGATTTGTGGTTTCTCTTGATCTTCACTGACTGGTTGTGATCAAGTGGTTGGGAGAATGATCTTGTTGGTCCTGAACGTCTGGAAACGGGAGTTTCAGCATCTTCAATTACTAACCAGCTAGAGTCCTGCCCCTTGTTATGATCATCCATGTTTAGAGTCACCCTCTTGTTTGTTCTTGAATATGAGGAAACTTTGGTTCTTGGTTGCTACACATTTGTATCAAGATACATCATTACATCACAGCTATGTAAAAAGAACTAAGCAGAGAAAATAAATCAAGAACCAGAATTAGAATTCAGGTTTGTTACTTTGATATGAAATAACTTCCATATTTCGAATGAGGAGAACTAAATTAAGTTTAACTACGCATTCGTATCAGGACAAAACATTAACCCAAATTTCAATCTATCGTATTATGTAGGTTTGTTAAATTTGATAGAATAAAATAATATTGATGTAGCGTCTCAAAGTGATTGATTTAAAAAAAATATAAGAGTTATTAAATGAGACAATCAATTATTTAGGTTAGGTTAGTGGAATTAATATAAATGGTTCATGATTATGGTATTTATTAAGTGACTGCAATGTACCAACAAAACTAAAACCATGAATGATTTAATTATTGATGTGTGCTTGAAAAAATCAAAATGGCAATCAAGTAAAATTAGTAATACATTTAAAGCATTACAACATATATGAGGCTATACTTGTGTTCTCCTCGGACGCATATCCATTTCATTTATAAAACTTTTCCTTTGGTGCCTACATATTTGAGCAACTATAGTCCTTTTACCATGCTCTCATGTCATGCATCGTACATAATATCTTTAGCATATTTACGGATGTACGTGCTTAATTTGTACACCTCCGGAATGACTAGATTTACAGTTATTTGTAAACGTGCACACCTGGCATCACATTTTGCTTCCAATATATTGCTTCCTATATATTGGTGCATAATCGTCGACCACAACCAAATGAATCGTCATGGTGTGATTGTGCAGGATAACAATACATCATTGTCTTTGCTGTGAAAGATCCATAACATCACCTTCTATATGTCATTCTTCCAAATGTTTTCTAGATAAAGAAACTCATCTTACTCCTGCATCAAACTGGTGGTGTGTTCGTGATGCAAATAGCAGTTAGAGAACTTTGTCATAAGTTGTCCTGACAAGTTATTCGCGTCGGTGGCGCGAATAATCGGAAGCATCGGACATCCCTTTACAACGTTATTGAAGCTTTCGGAAACATTTGTCGTGAGAATTTCGTAACACTGTCCATCGTAGCATAGTTTGCACATTTCATTGGGAATTTTGTCCAAATATGCCAACACATTCTCATTTACAACCTGAATGTAAGACATATTTTCGCAAGTTCGTTGGCTGGCACTCTGGCAGTACTCCGAGGTGAGCGAATTTTACCAATGTTCTAAAGGGTCTGATGATGAAATTAGTTCATGCCCTTGTGACAAATTCTCAACTAATGATGATGAAATTTGAATTTCACCAACCACATTTTAGAAAAAGTTGGTAGATTTAAACAATTCATTAAAGTAAACTTCAGAAGAAAACATGTTCTTTGATTCTTCAAATATTCTGAACAAACACATTCTTATATCTTAAAAGTTATCTATGTTTACTTACCACTTGAGAAATGGCATATGACATTGCCCTCTCCCTTCTGAAAATTCCATCTTGCTTCATTTGTAACTTAGAGTTTGGTTCATCTACTGTTCCACGCCTATTACACCAGTGTTTCTGCAGCACCCAACAACATTAAAACGCCATCATACAATTAAATATTCAAGTCTTAGTCCTTTTGGCAGCTTTTTTATTTACTTATTGGCTGAAATATATGATACAAAAACATTTCCTATAAGAAAAATTCAGCATATTTAATCATTTCAACCAAAGAACCAGGCGTGCTCTTGACAAAATAAAATGAACATTACGAGCGAAAGTTACCTCCGCCTGCCTGATTGGATCAATAGAAGTATGAACAGGTGATTGGCCAGATTGAGATCTAATTCAGGCTTGAGCTCGAACAAGAGCCTTCATAGACCTTAGTGTCAGGGCAGCTTTCTTTCTCACTTGTCTGCCACGGAAAATGGCTTTTATCCTTACTATAGCTTTCAAAGCCCTCAATGCCCGCTTTGCCTTCCATCATCATTTCGACTATCTCGGTATCTCCATGTTAGTACTAAGCATTCAAACTTAGCTATAGAAACACAAAAAGAGATGAATCTAACTAAAGTTAACCGGATAATAACAATGGCTACATACATTATAGTGAAATTTCCGATTTTTTGCGAGAAAAAAATTGATAAAGAATTTTACTTCTTGGGTATAGTTTTAGAAGGACTTGGCACTTAAGTTCCATCAGACAAAAGCAAGTCTTTTTTTTAACATAAGCAAGTCTTCTTTTAATATTTAAAAAATGATTAAACTATTTTTGCCCCTAAATCTCTCATCAACTCTTCTCTCCCACACTAAAAAGTAGGCAGAGAAAAGTTACTTGGAAAAGCCTACACTAGTATTATACCCATGGAGGGTGGTGTCGATCACTGGTGGCAATGGTATCACTTGACAATAACATACTAAAAGTGCCACATTCAGCCACTTTTTAAATATGTTTAAAAAGTAGTGACATTTTTGTTCTAAATTGATTTAATAGATCAAATTCATTTATGAACATAAAGTAGATCAAACTGATTTATAAATATTCTGGCTTTGGTAGCAGAATGTAATGCTAAGATACCTTTTTACTTAAAGGTTTCTAAAACTACTTACTTCACATACATTTTCTCTCCTTTTAAGGATCATCCATTAATATGTAGTCATTGTTTTAACTTAAATGATTCAAAAGGTGATGGGAAAGTGGATCAAAAGGTGAAAACGCCGTTTCTTGGATGGAAATACGAAACCTGGAAACGGCGTGGGGAGAAAAAGGAAGGGTCTGTTTACTAACAGAGATATTTTTCTGTTTTCTACTTTTGTTTTTCGTTCTCCAATTTTCTGTTTTCATTTTTCAGTTTTTCTATCTCCAATTTTCTGTTTCTATTTTTAGTTTTCCATTTTCAAATCTGAAAATATGTTCATCAATTTTTTCACCCAGTTCTCCAATTCCACACCCTTGACCCCCTACCCCTACCCTTACCACGATCTTACACTTTACCCATACTCCCCCACAACCCTTCATACCCACCCATACCTACTCGTAGGAGTCGGGGTAGGGAAGTTATGGGTGGGGGTGGGGTAAGGGGTATGGTCAGGATGGGGTTGGTAGGTCTAGGGGTAGGGGGTTAGGTGGGGGTAGGGGTAGGGGGTTGAATTGGGTGGGGGTAGTGGGTGGGTTAGGGGTAAGAGTGGGGTAGGGGGTAGGGTAGGGAGTTGGGATATGATGGCGGTAAGGTGGAGCCGGGACCAGGGTGGGGTCGAGGTAGGGAAGGGGTAGGGTGGGGGGTACGATGGCGGTTAAGGGTGGGGGTAGTGTGTAGGGTTGGGGTTGGGGTAAGGTAGGGGTAGGGAGTTGGGAAAGGATGGCGGTAGGGTGGGCCGGGACCAGGGTGCGGCCGAGGTAGGGAAGGGGTAGGGTGGGGGTGGGATGGCGGTTAAGGGTGGGAGTAGTGGGTAGGGTTGGGGTTGGAGTAAGGTAGGGGTAGGGAGTTGGGATAGGATGGCGGTAGGGTGGGCCCGGGATCCGGGTTAGGCTGAGGTAGGGGAAGGGTAGGGTGGGGGTAGGATGGTGGTGGGGGTAGGATGGTGGTGGGGGTAGGATGGCGGTACGAGGGTGGGGGTAGGATGGCGGTGGGGTGGGGCCGAGGTAGGGGGCATGTAGTAAGGGGTAATATATGGGTGGGGGTAGGGTGGGTCGGGGTGGGGTCGAGGTGGTAGGGGGGTGGCGGTAGGGTAGGGTGGATCGGGGTGGGGCCGAGGTAGGGGCATGTGGTAGGGGGCGGGGTAGGGTCATTATAGGGAAAAATGGGTACGCGGGGTGGGGTTGGGTGGCTAGGGTAGGGTAGGGGTAAGGGGTAAGGTACGAGGATGGAGGTACCAGAATGGAATCGACATCGGAGCGGGACCGGACCCAGCACTAGGTGTAAGTATGCAAATTCATTGTAGCGGCACTGTAACATCTGCGTTTTCCAAATTTGGAAAACTAGTAAAAGTCAGTTTTTCAAATCATTAAGAAAAAGAGAGACATGTCTCATTTTTACCGTTTTGGAAAACGATTTGGTTAACACGTTTTTCTTTTTTCCTTTCTTCATTTTTCCAGCAATTTCTTTGGTAAACACGTTTCCTGTTTTCTGTTTTCTAGTTTTCTAGTTTTCTGGAAAACTGGAAAATATCTCTGTTAGTAAACAGGCCCGAAGTTGTTGGCATTTGAAGGGTTTAAATTTAGAAATTCGAAAGCTTTGAAGAAGCTTAAAAGCGTTTGAGGCTGTAACGGATAGTACATTAGACATTACTATGCCTTCTTTAAAGACAATTAAAGTCCTTGTGATTGTTCCGATACTTTACCGGGTTCTCAAAAGTCAAAATGTAAAAGTAAAAGTAGGGTCGTAGAGGTGTCCCAAATTTGGATTTTAAAAGATTTTAAAGGAATTTAGAAATCCATGCTAATCTAAGTGTCCTCAATATAGACTTTTGAGGATTCCTTTGAAATCTAGGTGTTTACAACCATTCCATGGACTTTTATTATTATGGACTTGAGCTGATTTTGATGGATTTCGTATAGAAAATAAAGCACAAACCATTCCATCGAAATCTCCCGCTCGGATTTGTAATCCATCGATCCTCTCCAAATGAAACGCCGGCTTCTTAGGTCTATCAGAATTTCTTCTCCACTGTTGCCACTTCTTCGGCTCCTTCTCACAAATCTATCTCCTTCATTATCTTTGCTTGTGTGTGTATATATACATACATGTGTGTGTGTGTGCGCGCACTTTCTTGTTATATGCGGTAGGATTACAAGGAATTGGCTTTTGGTTTCAGCAGTGAAGGATCTAAAATCTCAGCCTTTGGTGAATCAAAAACTTGATGTTGTTCGCCGAATTGAACTTGATGAAACTAGATGTTGTTTGACGGAATTATCAGCCGCGAGGAAACTATTCACCGTTTGCCGATTTCCATTTGATGAACTCAATTACGGCCACATAACTTCTTCGTTTTCCATTTACGTTTTTATTTCAATTTTTCTATTTCCATTAAAATCCATGGACTTCTATCACTAAATCCATTGAAATACATGGAACTCTATGGATTCTATGGAAGCCTTTAAAATCCACATTCTTTCAAAATATTTTAAAATCCAAATTGGGAACACCCCGTAAAGTTTGCCCAAAAAAGTCAAAATGTAAATGTGTTTGTATTTTGTTTTCTCAAATGAAAATAATACAGTTTGGGGGATTGATACTTGTTGGGATTGATTTTTGCCACTTTTCTTAATCTAAATGAGTTATAAAGCGTTAAATTTTCTCAAGTCACGGTCTACCGGATTTGGTTTGCATTTGCTGTTATTAGAAGTAAAAGTATGAAATTTGAACCCGAATTGATGTTGGAGAATAATTTGGAAAGATTTGAGATGTGTTCGAGAGTTGACCAGAGACATCGAAGGTCTATGGGACCAGGAACAGAACTACATGTTCAGCTAAGGGGGTCATGGCCCCTTCCCATTTTTTTATTTTTCCCAAATACTATTATTATATTCTTTTTTGCCCCCTCCAAATAAAATTGTGAAAGGAGGCAAAAACACCCCTGATGTTGCCGGCAAGAGAGATCTATGCCCACATACTTAAATTTTGAGTAAAACCCGAACGAATCTGAAAAGAGGACAAAATGCCCCTTCAACTCACAGAAAGAACGTGCAACCGTTATTGCACAGTTGGCTAAATTATACAGGCCGTATATACTTTGTACACAATAAAGGGATAAGAGGAACAACCTAAAATAATTTATTGATTTGACAAATAAACACTAGAATAACTTAATGATTTGAGATTTAGGATACTCAGGGCCTCTTTATTAACAGAGATATTCTTCAGCTTTCTAGAAAACTGGAAAACTGAAAAACAGAAAACAGGAAAACGTGTTTACCAAAGAAAATTGCTGGAAAACTGGAGAAAAAAAAACAGAAAAACGCGTTTACCAAATCGTTTTCCAAAATGAAAAAAATGAGACATGTCTCTCTTTTCCTTAATGATTTGGAGAAGTGACTTTTACTAGTTTTCCAAATTTGGAAAACCCAAATGCTACAGTTCCGCTGCAATGAATTTGCGTACTTACACATAGTGGTGGGTCCGGTCCCGCTCCGATGTCGATTCCATTCTGGTACATCCATCCTCGTACCTTACCCCTTACCCCTACGCTACCCACCCAACCCCCATCCCGCGTACCCATTTTCCCTACAATGACCCCACCCCTACCATATGCCCCTACCTCGGCCCCCACCCTACCCTAACGCCACCCCTTGCCACCTCGACCCCAACCCAACCCACCCTACCCTACCCCTACCGCCATTCTATCCTAACTCCCCACCCTACCCCTACCTTACCCCAACCCTACCCACTACCCCCACCCAACCCACTACCCCTAGACCTTACCACCCCACCCCGACCATACCCCTTACCCCACCCCACCGTCCCTACCCCCACCCCTACGAGTAGGTATGGGTGGGTATGAAGGGTTGTAGGGGAGTATGGGTAGAGTGTAAGATCGTGGTAAGGGTAGGGGTATGGGTCAAGGGTGTGGAATTGGGTGTAGGGTGTAGGGTGGGGGTATGAGGCATAGGGGCGGGGTAGGGGTTAGGGGTATGGGTACACGTACGAGGTGATCGACCCCACATATTATATTATATATTTGTGTTCATGAATGTTTGTGTGTATATATGTATAAGGTTATTTTGGACATTTTAATGTTAAACGGTGTTTTAAACCTTTTGAAATAAACATGATCTTACAACATTGCTTATTTTATGCGCCGCTTAGTAACGCGAGTCTTAATAAGCACCATTTAGTAACCCGTGAAGTAAACGTGTCCTCAGTCTTCTGGATGATCACAGAACTGGGTGAAAAAAATTGATGAACATGTTTTCAGATTTGAAAATGGAAAACTAAAAAATAGAAACAGAAAATTGTAGATAGAAAAAATGAAAAATAAAAACAGAAAATTGGAGAACGAAAAACAGAAGTAGAAAAAAGGAAAATATCTTTGTTAGTAAACAGGCCCTTAGTATTTTCATTCCCCTTTTAACTATCCCACACCTATGGGATGGATGCATGGGCCAATCCAGTCCGGCCTAGTATTCTGTTTCGTCCCTGGAGTGATGAATATCACTTTTCTAAACTAAACTTTTTTAGATTTTTTTTGGAAAATCTAAACCTATGGGATGGATGCATGGGCCAATCCATTCCGGCCCAGTACTGTGGCTTCGTCCCTGGAGTGATGAATATCACTTTTCTAAACTAAACTTTTTTAGATTTTTTTTTTTTGGAAAATTACTACAACACTACGTTTAACTTCATTATTGTTATATTTTTGTTAGATTTTTTTATTTTATGGAAAATTATGACCTCTCAATAATATCCTTCCAGAAAAACAAAAAATAACATTACGTTCTTCATTTAGACCTACAAGAAATGTAGAAATGGGAGCTCAAATGACCCTAAAGTCACTTTCTAGTTTAATAGTTCTATGTACGAAGTATATTTCTAGTCATAGTAAATATTGTAATTCACTTTGGCCTAATTTGGATTACTGTATTTATATTTGAGAATTTTTTTAGTTCGAATATGCCCATTGTGCCTTGCACTCTTGCCATGGTTTAAAGTTGGGGAGAAAACCAAAGTTTCAATATACTGTAATTATCATATCGAAAAATACTAAGTTTAGTGAAAATTTAGGTATACTGACATTTTTGGTACAATATTACTTCAGTATGATGTTGATATATAGTACTAGTATGATATTAGTATATGTTTTAAAAATAAAAGGTATACCAAAATAAGTTAGGGTATGTTCTGAACACACTTATCTTTATCTTCAAATAGCCTCACAAAAATGAATCAATACATCAATCTAATTTTGAATTTGTTTGTAAATCAACATTTGAAAGCAATGATTGTTACTACATCCGTCCCATTCAAAAGTTCCGTCCACTATTCTCTGGTCAACGTAAAATCTTCTTAATATTTTATTTTATATATCCAACTTTTATCAAATTTGGAATTTTCTTTTGTGACATTCGATAATATTTAATGGAGTTTCTGAATATGTAAATTTTATTTAATAAAAAATCTAATTATGAACATGAATCGATTAACTTTATGGTCGGTTTGGGTGCGTCCCGGAGAGAAAGAGCTTTCCGGCGAACGTCCAACCAACGAAGACGCTCAGCTTTACTGGCCTTTTCTAGTACTATACAATCCAGATGATGATCCAAAGGCCTCGGGGAGAGAAGCCGGCGTAGGCCGAGCCAATCCCGGCCCTGTGTGTGCTTATTTAGGGGCCCAGAATCAAAAGACCAGGGGATGCTCGTTCGGACCTATTGGCGTGAAACCAAGATATTGATGGGAAACGCATTGAATGCAGTAGATTTAGTGGTTGGGAAGCTAGTCACTTGCAAACCTCCACATCACCAACACCACCTACCCCTTGATAGTATAAGTATTACTACACATGACACTATGACAGTAAATTGTTTCAATATACATTGTAAACGACTAGCAACTTGTACTCTTTAACAATAAGCAATTATTTATTCCTCCTCTTCCTAGCTCAGATAGATGATCGACCTAGCGGGCTGATAGTAGTGTGTGTTGTAACAGACCTTATTATTGATTAATAAGATATATTTCATCTACTAGACTCATTACTTGCTTGTCCATTATTTGTTTGTGCTCACAATATATCAAACTATTTCACTCGAAACTCAAGGGAAGGTGTTGTACCTTTGAAGTTGAAAGAATAAATCTCAACAATTGTAAACCGAGTCAAACATCTTAAAGCGCATGAGAACATTTTGGGATGAAAGGAATACAAAAACATGTACTAAGATAAAAAAAATAGTTCCTTTTTCCTTCTTAGACGTCCTAGGAGGGCCAGGACTAGACAAAAAAAAGACAAAAATTTCTTGTTTATATCATCACCCTAGATTCATCATTTGCAATGGAGCCAAAGATTCATTATTTTTTGGTTTGAGAATATGATGGACTAAAGCAAAATGGCTCACTGAACTGTCTGCGCTTCTTTGTTATGAAGCAGCAGTCAGTCCATGCAATTTTGGATGCGATTTTCACTACGGGTCATTCGGAAGCAGTCTCTCTGTGCTTTATTACAGGGGTAAGACTGCGTACATCCGACCCCCCTTACCCCACCGTAGGTGGGGAGCCTTTGCGGCACTGGGGTAAATGAAAATGAAATGAAATGAGATCATCACCCTAGATTGGACAAAAACATAATACATATTTCATACTCCGGTCCTCCCGCAGATTTATTTTCAGCCATCCAAGTCGGTCAATTAAAATTCATGTTAACCACCATTTCATTAGAACATTACTTTTTGCTAAGTTACTCCTCGGTGGGCGGATGTGTAGCAAGTAGTTAGCTTCTTGTGAAATTACCCTTTTCTTATGTCGGCGATGGATAGTTAGGATGTTTTCTTTTTGACTGAAATTTGTTGGTCTGGTCTGATCTGGTCTGCTTAAGTCTGGTCTAGTCTGAACTGGTCTGGTTTGGTCTGCTAAACGTTTGGTCTCTGTGTATTTTATAACTATGAAAGTCTGGTCTGGTCTAGTCTGGTTAAGTCTGGTCTGGTCTGTTTAAGTCTGGTCTGGTCTGGTCTGGGACTGAAAACAGTCCAAAAGAAAACATCCTTATTAGCCATTGATGGATGAATATTTGTTATTTAAACAACTTCTAATTAATATTAGTTGTTAGTGGCTGAATATTACCATTTCACCAATTTCTTGTTTAATTTGACTCCATCTAATATCAATCGAATCTAATGCACTTAGAGCAGGTATACCAAATACCAATATTTCTTATATAATATAGGATTATTATAATTAGCTTATTTTATCCCAAACTATCATCAAATTCACAAATCTATCCTACACTTTCATTTTTATCAAAAAAGACTCAAACTTCATGTTTTCCAACAATAGTGCTTTTCTTT